AGAAAAAACATTCTTGATTGTAATAAAGTGATAAGAAAAACAATAATTAATTTTATTGGGTGTGTAGTGTGTCTTTATCTACTTATCTAATAACTATTGACTTATGATAGTGTTTTATCTAAAGTGCTCTGTGTTGGACCTCATATCATTTTGGATTAATGATGGGTTGTTTTCTTATTTAGGGTCTTGGTTTATATGCTGCTCGTGACTTAGAGAAACACACCATGGTAATTGAATACATTGGCGATCTCATACGCAATGAAGTAGCCAACAGAAGGGAGAAGGAATATGAATCTCAAGTGAGTAGAAACAGAAGAATCACTTACTAATGTAGAATGATTTTTTACATTTTATGACTTAATATTATTCAAGTTTGTGATATTTTTGTCATTTTAAATATTTTAACTTATTTCTAAAAATAAAAATTTAATTAAACTATATTTTGAGTTCCCTATTAAATATGATTTCTTAATCGTATTTCTTATAAGCACATTTTAATATCTGGCACATATTAGCACAGAATCAAAGTCTTGTTAAAAAAACAACTTTAAAATTTTCTCCACTAGAACCGAGGGGTGTACATGTTCCGTATTGACAATGATGTGGTGATTGATGCTACAATGGCTGGCGGGCCAGCTCGATATATCAACCATTCTTGTAATCCAAACTGTGTGGCTGAAGTTGTAGACATAGAAAAGGAAAGTAAGATAATTATCATCACTAGCAGGAAAATTGTCAAAGGAGAAGAGGTGAGTTGAAGATTTGTCATTTGAGTCGTTTGTATAGTGATATGTAAAATTACCTGAGTCTTGAATGTACATCTAGATGTCATTCGAGTTTTGTGTGTAGGTATTTCTAGAGGTCTAAAAGTCTATATTATTGTAGACCTATAGGTAAGTAGTTCTAGAATAAGAAATTACTAGAGACTTGAAGGATAGAAGCTTAGGTTCTGGAATGACTAAAGAAGCCTAGGTTCTGGAATTGAAGACCTAAATGGCATAACACTAAGTTCAGTTTCTTTTAATGAACACTTTTAACTAAGCTTAAATAAAATTACTCTGTCTGTCTGTCTGGTACAAGTTTTGTACACATTAGTTCTCCAACACCAAATCTCAGATCAAGTTGAAATTTCTTTTTCGAAAATTAATTAATTATTGGTAAGTAATTATTTTGTTTCATATGGAACAAGGATAAGAAGTTGATATGGCAGTATAAGTCTAATTAGTCCCCTTTATACTTTGTGTAGAGAACTAGGTTGTATCTTAAAAGTTTGAAATAACTATGGATAGCTATGAAACCTATTTTCATAAGCGCTTCTCTGGCATAGTGGTTAGTGTATTGGCTTCAGGAGGCCTGAGCGCTTGAGTTCGAATTCAAGTCTCACTATTTTTTTTAACAAAAAGCATTTAAAAAGGGATCATGGTAACCTTCAGTCTCTCCCCCCCCCCCCCTTTTCTCAACTGGTTCATACAAGCGATAGGAGCATAGCGCATTGAGAAAGCTAAAAGCATGTCATTGCGCTAAACAAAAACAATTGGTAAAATATTTCTAATCGCACAGACTTAATATTACTAGTCCAGATCTATTACAAATTTAATTACATAACTGATCCAAACAAACTGATACAATTACAATTAATAAAAGCTTGTTTAAAAAAACAACAACACAAGTAGTGTTTTTTTTTTTATTGTTCTTGTTAAACCTTAAATTTTAAAAATTGTATTATATTATGCTTAACAATTAAAAATATATTATTAAGAAGTATTCATATTTTATACTAAATGATTAAAATTATATAATTAAATAGTCATTTTAAAATAATAATCATTCAATATATAATTAACTCTTTCTTTCTATAATTAATTTCCACTTTCAGATAGAATTATCCATTTTGCTCATATCTATTTCACTAATAACTTTTTTTTTGTTATCATAAAATTGTATATTTGGTATAGAATTAAAGGGGAATGCATGTCCTTTTCATATAAAACAATTTGATATTTATAAAACAAAAATAAAATTTTCTATTGGATAATGGAATTTATTTTAAAGTAAAAACTTAACTACTGTGGACTAATCTCTTTAGAACTAGATCTAGGCAATATTTTATGATCTGAATAGAACTAAAAATATTTTTGTATGATAGTTATTTATATTTTCACAAAACTTAATATATAAAAGATATAAAACATTAAAAAGAATTGTCTTCTTCCCTTGTCACCACCCTGTGCAAAATGAATATAAAAAGTACAGCCCCCACTCTTGAACAGCATTTTTTGGGAATAACAGGAAAACAAAAATGTGTTTCTTTTCCAAAGGGAAACTATTCAAGATTAAACTATAAGCAATTCAAAACATTTTGGGAGGAACGTAAACAAAACAATTGACATCATCGATTAGGCTGAAAGAATTGATGATAATATCGTCAATTAAAAGAGAAGTTAAATTTGTGCTTATTGATCAAATTTTTTGAATGCACTAAATGTGGTATAGAAGATGAGTTTGCTAAAATTAAGTTATCAATCAATAATATTTTTTACTTATTTGTATTCTGTTGTTCTCATGTTTTGCCTGTATTAGATTTTCAGTTTAATCTTACTTGTGTGAATTGTATTATTATAGCTGACCTATGACTACAAGTTTGACTTTGAAGATGACCAACACAAGATTCCTTGCATGTGTGGTGCTGTAAACTGTCGCAAGTGGATGAACTAAACCTGGACAAAAGTCTGCGGTGATAAACACAAAAAAAGGGGGACATAGCCCCTGTTTAACTGTGATAACTCTTCCACTGTGAAAGGTATTATTGCTGCAGGCCATGCCCAGACAGATCCTCAGGGAAACAGGGAGCCATCTGTCTGTGATAGTCATTCATCACTGTGAACAAAGTCATTCAGCTGTGAAATACTTGATAGACAAATAAATCATAGAATGTTCTAACAGTTACAAATAAAACTTTTTATTAGTATGAACCAATCACTACTGTAAAGGATTGTTTATCATTTGTGAATATCGAGATAGCCAATTTTAAAGAAAGGCTTATTTACTAAACATGGATTTATCATTTTGTATATGTTGTTTTTCCATATCTCTTGTCATTTACCTCACTAAAAGAAGAAGTTGCTTAGAATCAAGTGAACTCTTTATGTCTTTACTTGATATTGAACATAGGTTTGTACATACAATTTAATATAAACATTGCTGAGACAATCTGTGTTATCAATTAGGACAAGTCTGTGTTATACATAGATATGGATGTACTCCTACTCCTCTACTTGTATATATATCTTTATATCAATCTATATGCATGCACCAGACATTTTGGCTAGTTTCATGACTTGATGAACATAACATCAGCTTACCAAGAAATATGCAGTGTAGTTACTCCTGCTGTTTATTTTTAGTTTGAGAGTATCTGTTACGAGTGCAATCAATTCATCTGTCAACACTTTATGGAATAGCTCAAGTGAAACAAAAATAATTTTAGAATTATACATTTCACTTTCCCAGTAATTTTGTTGTTTGAAGTATTGTACATTTGAAACAAAATGCTGTCACAAATTATGCAATTTATTTAAAAATGTAATCATTTAAAATTATTTGTAATATAAATGTGTTGTTTTTTTTACACTTATTTCTTATGTAAATATTTCACCATGTCTGTAAAGTGATGGGCGAAATGTCAGGACATATACCACAGGATGCTTTACAAACTAGGTACTGACTGAACTTTGTTCATACCCAGCCTAGGTCTTAGTATTGTGAGCTGGTATTATTTAACACTGGCATTCTTGGTTGACTACTTGTGTTATGTAACTAGCATGTTGCTCTCTTCATATATTCTGGTAGATATAGCTGTATAGGTTAGATGGGCTAATTGTAAACTACATACTAGTTTCATGTTAGATTGGCCTACTAGTCTGCTTGCTGGAACTAGAGCCTCATCACATTGTCAATGGTATGCAACTTTTGTTTTTCTTGAATGAATTACTGAGCTATTCTGAACTAATCAGTGATGTTCATTGCAAGACCAACTATTTATTTATATAAGCTTTGATTTATTGTCCCTACTATCTATTGTTCTACATAGCCCTGTACATAAAGGACCCTTCAGTTCTCATGAAGTCATTTCCAATATGCACTGACACCTAGATGTTGTCTTGAGTTTGACATTGGTTTCTCATTCATGTCCTCTCTATCTCAATGTCAAATCTTTATACAAATTGTAATTATACACATGTTTACTGTACAGATTTTAAACACTTTTTTTTTTTAATTCTATATATTCTTTATTTCCTGATCCTTGAAATGATCTGTAAACTATTTCATTGTAGCACAATGTTTTGTTTCCTTTGACCTACTGCCATTGTTGATAAGTAAGCAGTAATCATTGAATGAATTGGTCAACCAATAAGCAATAATGTGAAGCATTATGTCCATGTCCTTGTAGAGCAGAAGATGGTTTACATGTCTACATGCTGGCCAGTTGTTTTCCAATACAAATTAAAATTAGTTCCATTTTTTGTTTCCCTTAGTTATAAAATGTGGTCTCAATGATTTCATCAACAATCAATTCTCATTACTATTGAATCTTTGACTACAATAGCCAAGGGAAGCATTGTTTAATATTTCAAGTTAATTTTTGTTCTCAAATGATTGATTTATATTGATGACATTGTGTCAATTTGTCCAACTTGTTTATCCAAAATTTCAAGGTGATGAATTGAGAACCTTTGAACAAGTGGAAGAAAGGGGAGATGAAGAATGTACTTGAAGCATTGGTTGACGCATCTACCACTTCATTGCTAGGAGAGCTAGTTTGACTCTTATTAATGTGCAGAGCACTAATCTTTTGACCATCATGACTATTTTATATTATGTGATTGTAAGGATTCAAAAGGAGAAACCTATTTACCTGTAAAGGAGCAGGTGTTTTCTTTCCTTATTTACCTGTAAAGGAGCAGGTGTCGTCGTCCCCCCCCCCCCCCCCCCCCCCCCCCCCCCCCCCGTTCTCTACGACATTTAGATTTTGGTTTTCAAGCAGATGGTCTGTCTTTTCTGTTTGTGTTTGCGTGTGTATTTCCAAACTGGTTCCCGCCAGTCTCTATGGAAACTGCTCTTCAGACTCCTATGCTGCAGCAATAAGTACCATGTGTAAATATATAGTTTCTAATATATCTACATCCTACACCATCATAAATGCTGTACTACAAACTCAAACATTTGGACATTTTATTTTACATAATAAATTTATCACATGTTGTCATTTTGTCATTCTTGAATTTTTATCAGAATAAAATTTATCATTTTCTCATTAGTTATGTTTATTTTACCTTAAATATTTGTGTTCAACTATTTAGGTCGGTAGTATTATTGTATGTAGGCTCTATGGTACCTGTATAATTTGATGTGTTTTATTTCCATTTTCCTTCTAGTCTTCTTGTATCCTAGCTGTTTCCCGCCCCCCACCCCAAGTAGGATGTTGAATGGGAACAAAAGTAAATAGCTGGTGAGACAGGAACAGAAATGAGAAAACAAGAAGAATGAAATTAGTGAGAAACATTTGTGCGAGTCCACTTCTTTCATGTTTCTGTTAACCATTTGTTCATAATTCATTTTGTAATTTTATAATTCTTTCAAACGTTTAATTCTATTTATCTTTCTAAGGGTGCAAACAAAGATTAAAGTTAAAACGTTTGGAAAAAAAATGCCTAGCTTATTATAAGGCATGCATTAGATGACGTCTTTTGAGTTGAAAAATTATGGAAGTGTGCAGTATTAATTAGGAACATACTATCAGTAAATGGACAGTAATTTTTAATTATTTTTTTTTACAAATACTCAATTCTAGATCTAGATTCATTTTAATTAGTAGTGACTTCAGGGTCTTTTGAATTGCATTTCAATCCAGAGTAAATATAGCTGAATGAATGATGCCTACCTTTTTTTTATGAGAGAAAATGATGAATTTCATACAGCAACCTGACCCTGCGATTGGCAACCAAGTGAACCTCTAGACAACCGAGAGCCCCTTAAAAAGAATTTTTCTGATCAGAAGTGTTTCGCCTTGCGCGGGCTGACACACTATGAATGTATTAGTCCATAGACCCTAAGAACTTTACCACAATTACATTAAGAGATTGTTCGTTAGATCAGTTTACCGATATCTTTTTTTTTCTAGTGACAAATCGCAATGTCTTCTTCATTTTTACTTTGCATTCTTATAAGTGACAGTCCCTTAAAAAAAAAAAGATATGTGCATATTCAACCCCCCCCCCCCTTTTTTTTCCAACGTTACATTTCTTCAATACATGCCTCTATGGCTCCCTCTGTATAGAAAGCCAATAGATGCGACTAGATGAATTGCTGGTGTAGATGGCTTCTGCTTCTCCTTTAGTCTTACGCTTTTATCCTTTTAGGTATAAATCCCTCCTCTGTCATTTTGTTCTGTGCAAGGGGCCATAACAGCAGACACAACCTGTCTCCATGCTGTCTGATCTGGGCTAAGTTTCTCATATATAGCCATAGTCCTAAGGTAACGCTTGCAGACAACTCAGTACCATAACTCTATTAGTTTAGTTCAGGGGGTGTTTATCTTGGACGTCTGTAAGGGTTGGTTCAGCTTAATGCTGTTTTAAATTACTCATTAAATTTTACATAAATAGATAAGCATGTATAAACTATATTGTAAAGGTCAACTATTTTTAACAAGCAATGGTAAATGATCTAGATCAGTGGTTCTCAAACTGTGGTAAGAAGAAAACTGTAATATGTATACAATTAAAATAACTTCTTTGCTAAAGCCAGGTTAAAAATAAATTCGCCCCTCACTGCTGTTTAATATGTCTATTACATACTTTTCTGTGTCGACCAAGACCAAAGATTTAAAAACATTCTTTACTTGGATATTCCTGACTGGGTGTTGAAAAAAAAATTAAATTCTTTTGCTTGTGGACATACTCGGATCTCAATCGCTCATGAATCCATACTAATACAGGAGCAACTTATTGAAATATACACAAATGAAGAACATTAATCAATTTTTGAACAAGGATACCATGAATTCTAGTTAAAAAACTAGGGAGGGAAAGAATGGGTTATCTGGTTGAACATTAAAGTGATCGGTTTTTAAATGTCTTTATGATTGATTTTTTTTTAAACGATCCGAACTCAAGGGTTCTAGTCTCCTCAAGCCAACACACTAACCACTGTACTAGATAAGTGCTTATGAAAATAGATGGCTTATTTATACTTATCTATTGTTAGTTTCAAACTTTAAAGTAAAGTATAAAGGGGACAATTTCAACTTATACCACAACATCAATCAAGTGCAATTTCTTTCCTATAACAAACAAAATAATAAATTACCAATAGTTAATTAACTAATAAGTTGTTTTTTTTATTGATTCTTGCTTTGTCAGGTCAAAGAAATAAGTGTGCAAAAGCTCAGCTTGATTATAACTTTTTACTAAAGAGAATTAAAGACAGACAGAGTGATTTGATATCTAGCTTTGTAAATAGATTCTAAGATTATGGGTCATTATCCAGAAGTTGCTGACTGTTTTGCCGTCTTCTTATTTGGTAGAACATGTATTCGGTGCCGAGATGAACCTCAGCAAATAAAAATATACTGTGCTCTTGAAGATTTTGCTACTTACAAAAATTAAGAGGGACATAAATAGCCATACTTTCATAAAATCTCATCATAAAAAGTCCAAGTCATTAATTACCTATATAAAAATTATTAAGTAAAAATGTGTGCAAAAGTGTCATCGAAACATACTTTTTTAAAAATTTAAAACAAAATTATAATCTCAAAAACACTCCAACAAAATGTGTTTTTTTTTTACATTTTTAACTTATGTACTATGCATATATGTTTCATCTTTTCTCTTAAGGGGCCATGGGCAAATTTATTGAAATTATGACTGTATAAAGTATAGGCCTAAAGGGTCGCTGATGCATAAATGTTTGAGAACTTCTTTAGATCTAGTCTAAATGGTGGCAAAAATAATAAGCAAAACTCAGATAAACTTTAAAATATTACTAGATTACTAGATCTATAAATTCTCTCTTTCTCTCTCTATATATATTGTAACTGTACTATTACAGTACTAGATCCATAATTACTACAATAATTAATAATACCGGTACACAACTTCGTAGCCTGACTCTTATTGAGGCTATTGTTAGTAAAGTTACTATTTAAATATTATAATTGTATTCGCCATAGGCATATTTTCTCTTTTTATATATAATATATAGAGTAACTTACGTCTATCGAACACCTTCATTTTAAGGTACTTATCGAACACCCCATTGTATTTTTTAAAATTCTCCTTTATTTCGATGATTATGACGAAACTAGTCCATTCCTATCGTGCATCGTCCATTTCTTTATAGTTTAGATATATATATATTTAGTTTCATTTTCACCCGAGGATAATTTTTGTACTTATATTTGAAGTGCATTGGTAATATTGGTATAAAAACGTCACTTTTTTTTTACCTCTTGGGAAGAGTGAAGTGAGTCTCGAGTTAAGGGTATTTTTTAATAAATAGAGTCTAAATGAAAAACTGTCATGGAATCCACATATTGATGAAACTATAAAAAAAATCAAACAAAGCATTAGGGTTTATTAAAAGAAATTTCTATAAATCAAATAAGAACATAAAACTACAATGTTATTTAACCTTGGTTAAGGCTAATAATAGCTAATATGCATCCTCCGTTTGGGACCCCTCAACTCAAAAAAACATTAAGAAACTGGAACAGACACAAAATTTTTTATTTTTTAAAATAATGTAATGCAAAGTAAAGATATAAATTACTCATGTGTTACAATTTGTATCAGCTATTTGTGGTTTACCGTAATTGTGCTATATTTTTTGAAGTAAATAGATTTACATCGATATGCACTAATTGTATAATACCCATTTTAAAAGCTTGATTTTATGATACATATAGTTCGAAGCTATTAACAATATTGTGACGGCCGTTGTATCACAAAAGTAGAATATATTCTAACTTCTGAATCGTGTGTTAATAAACCAATACCTAGCGCATGTGCTTGGTGTGAAGAGATATATTAATAAAACGAAAGAGCAAAGGGGGAGGTATAGAATGTAGATATGGTATTTTGAAATAAAAATAACTTTGGCAAGTTAAAAAAAAAGAAAGGGGGGGGGGGAAGAGAGAGAGAAACAGTCAAGACACTGTATCCAGAGATCATCGATAATTGATCGACCATTAAAATGTGACGTCAGCCTCAAATACAGAGTCAGTTGTGCTTCTTGATCTAGACGTGTGGCGCCGGGTCTATAAAATTATATATACATATATGTTATTATTTTTGCCATAAAGTATGATAAAGTTCATAATGCGCTACAAAGACACTCGTTTGAAACATCACAAATACACAAAATAATATCACACATTTAACCCCTTTAACCCCCTTACCCGCGCTTTCTTCTTACACAATTCCACTCTCCAGCATTCACACTTTTTCAGTGCAAAGTAACAACATAAATTTCAAGACCCAATCTAATCGCAGCCACCAGACTAACATGCAAAAAAAAAAGTCATTGATAGCGCAACACACAGGTGTAAACCAGGCCATCAACACAGTCCAAAAACATTGTTCAAGTTGTAGTAAGAACAATGTTGAAGGGAAAGGGAGAGGAGCCATCTATAGAGTACCTACGGTCACAAACAATAGGCGTGATATATAGATATGTTGTTTTTGTGTGTGTGTGTGACAAATACTAAGCGTTTTTTTTGGTCAACCAGGTGGTTTAGGGAGGGCGGATGAATCTACATCTATAGGTAACACAGCTCACAAGCTACCATAGCTTTTCAGCCCCCCCCTCCCCCGCCCCGATCGAAAAATATCTAGCACTGACTTTTGGGCTGTTACATACACTGAGCGGGCTAGATCGGCGGCTAGATACGTAGAGCCTCGTATGTTTTGTTTTTAGGTCAACCACGTAAACTGTTGTGTCCTGCAATGGCTTGGGAGGGGGGCGGGATTATCTATTGGCTACCAAAGCTTATTAGGCTCTCCCCCAAATAAATAATATCTGGATTTATTAAGGGCCTTATATCTCAAAATAGCTATAGATCTAAATAAGTACCGGTACGGTAATGTGTCGGTAATGCGTTACTGGGCTTATCACCTTACACTTATGTGTATCGTCAGTTTCTAAGCAGAGCTGATAGATTCCTTCGATGTGGAGCACGTGAAAATGACTAAAATCTGTCTGTCTTGACATGGCGTAAAAAGAAAATGATATAAATAACAACAATTTAAAGATT